ATATATATCTGCAGGTGTGGCTGTTTAAGGTTTTCTTGTGAAAAACAATTTAGAACTAAATGTTGATGTTGTTCAGTACATATAGTAACTTAGTTCATAAGTAAGTATTTTCATTATCAGTGTGTCATACACCACGAAAGGTGCCCAGCTCACRTGGGCTTATAAGACACACAAACATATTCAAAAGTGCAGACAGAGACCAGTCAACATTCTAAAAATGATAGCGTTCTGTGATCTGAATGGGATTTGTCTGGTTAAATAACAGTAAATAAATAATAAACAGGGGGACTGATGAATACAACAAACCCTTGTTTGTGCAGTAGATCATACTTCAGGTTTTATATGACATTTAATAACACAAACCAGCTTTTGGATTACAGCAGTGTGTGTCTGTGTGTATTGTTGTTGTTGTTGTGGTGAAATGAGGGGTCTTTACCTACCCAACAGAGGAAGTGAAGAGACACCACCAGACTCTTCAGGCACCCAGCACAGGAGCTATTCATCCTTCCTGGGGGTCTTTTTCAAAAGATTTTGAAAGTTCATTAATTTGCACGAGTTTTATTAAACTATATTCTGACACTAGTCTTATTTATATTTAGATGCTGTGAAAAGACGATCAGGTGTAGCTGCAGCAGTGTTTACAGGACACACAGTTTGATGTGGCAACACTGAGTCATGAGCCACAATGGACACCTCTGTGTTCCAGTTAATCATTCTTATCTGCTCTGAACTCCAGACCATACATGAGAACATGTTACTGATGAAGGTACAGATAACTTACTGTGTGGAGGATTCCTCCAACACCGTGTCAACCTGCTAATGTAAAAAAATGAAGTATTTTGTAAACTAATCATTATTTTGTATAAATCAATATAGCTCTAGTAAAAATAAAAATCTTGATAAATTTGAATATCGGAGCTCTTACCCTAAATACACCAAATCCTTGAAAGTCAGAGTGACAGATGCAATAAGTCGTAGATCTTTGGTGTTTCCACCATTCCAGAGAACAAGTGACACCAGTCGAGCTTGGTGGGGGAATGAGCTGAGAGARGGAGGAGAAAACCCAAGTCAGACCTCGGTCTACCTGCTCAGTATTTACAAGACCAACAGTGAAGAGGAGGGGCACCCACATTGGACTGAAGACAGCAAGAACCCGACACAAACCACTGAAAGAAAAAGAAAGTCCTGAAATCAGATTGTCTTTTTTTTTTTGTTTAACATCAAGAGTTAGTTCATGAAGGTATTACTTCTGTGGGTTTTAAATGAGTCATGAGGCACAGGAGCAGTGGTTTGAGCTGTGACCTCATAGGAAGAAGATTCAACGCCCAGTGGTGGTCTTTCAAGAGTTTTTTTTCCTCAAGGTATTTCCATAGTCTCCCACAGAACAGAAACATGCATGTTAGGTTTATTTGTTGCTCTAAATTRTCTCTAGGTGTGAGTGAGMATGTGRCTGCTTCRTCCATCCATCATTTTCTTCCWCTTATCTGGGGTCAGGTCGTGGGGGCAGCAGCCTAAGCAGAGAGACCCAGACTTCCCTCTCYCCAGCCACCTGGGYCAGCTCCTCTGGGGGAATCCCAAGGTGTTCCTAGGCCAGCCAAGAAACATAGTCCCTCCAGCGTGTCCAGGGTCTTCCTCTGGGTCTCCTCCCAGTGGGACATGGCTGGAACACCTCATCAGGGAGGCGTCCAGGAGGCATCCTAACCAGATGAACCACCTCAACTGGCTCCTCTCGACGTGGAGRAGCAGCGRCTCTACTCTGAGTCCCTCCTGGATGACCAAGTTTCTCACCCTATYTCTAAGGGAGAGCCCAGACACCCTGCAGAGGAAACTCATTTCGGCCRCTTGTATCTGTGATCTYGTTCTTTCGGTCACTACCCAAAGCTCRTGACTTTAGGAACCACTGCTTTAAAGAGACATTTTGAAATGTTTTAGGATGCTGATAAACAATATCTTACCTGCTGCAGATAGCTCTTACATTCTGACAGGTCTGATCCTATCATCTGACACCAGATCCASTCTAGGAGGATATCATGAATGTTTGAATAAAAAGTTTTCATACTGTCATCATAGTGATGTTAGCAGAAATCTGCRGGAACTGACTCCAGGCTGCACAGGAAGTGCTACAGCTAGCTGCAGCTGACTGTGTTTGTGTACACCCAGAGAAACAGCAGCAATGTAAACATCATTTTCAGACARTGATCCACGTTGGTCTCGTCTTTGTTCTGACCAGCCAGTAGCTCATCAGTCTGGTCAGGCTTCAGCTGTTTGTCCARACTCAGGTTGTTCAGGAAGACTAGGTAAAATATTAAAGAGGCAMTATCATGTAAAATTAACTTTTTWGAGTTTTATATMATGCTATAATGTTATACTCTCATAAAAAACRTGCCCGGACTTCCGGTGAAGATGGCTGGCTAGAGGACGTGTTTTCACTGTGCTCCCGATCCCACCTATATTTTTTACAGTGTTATATGTGTTATTGCCTTTATACTATTGATTTATTGATAGTCCTAGTGTTCTGTGGACATGCAACAAAAAGAAATATATGCTCTAAGRCCATGAACAATGTCGAAACAGACAAAATTGCAGCCGCGGAAGAYGACAACTGCCACGAGCACCAGTGCTAACCAAACTGCTATGCTAGCAGAAGYGAGTACCCTCCAACCTTTGCCTACGGTGGATACCGCAGCTCTCGTCAGTCAAGTGACCGAAAGCATTAGTGAGGTAATGGACCAAAAACTGTCTGTTCTATCTGACGCTGGAAAAGATATCATCCTCACTGGAAGGCCTCTCAAAGCGCGTCACGGAGACAGAGCTGAGAATTTCGGATATGGAGGATACGATCACTGGCTTTGAKGGGAGGCTAGCTGAAGCGGAGGAGAAAATCAAGACCATGGCCAAAGGCTTGGATGACATGGAAAACAGAAGCAGACGAGACAATATTCACATTATTAATCTGAAAGAAGGCGCAGAGGGAGATAATCCTTTTCAGTTCTTTGAAACTTGGCTGCCTGATTTACTGCGCCTGGGGAGGAACAGCTCCACAGATAGACCACCCATCAAAGTTGATCGCGCGCACCGGGGCCTCAGATCACGGAGTGCACGCACCAGGCCCGTAATCATCAAGCTTCACAAGTCCAGAGACAAGCAGCAGACCATGACAGCAGTGAGGGCGACCTCTGAACTCAAATACGGCAGACAKCGGAGCTTTATTCATCAGGACCTCTCCTATGCGGTTCGTGAGAAKTGGCGGGGATACAATGCCATTTGTCGTGCCTTCATTGAAAAGGGCATTTGCTTCGGCATGCGATACACTGCGACGCTCATGCTGACCTATGATGAGGCTGAGCACAAATTTGACTCGCCAAAGGCTGCACAAGTCTTTATCAATACACTGGACTAAATTATATTGGAAACGAGTATCTTATAAACTTTGGCTCTGTTTAAGGACTCACTTTAACACGACTCAACATGGAACATGTAAGTCTTTTACACTGAATATTAAAGGAAAAGAGCCAGTCTAATATGATGTTACACAACTGGCAATAATCAGGTTACGTTTTAGCTGGGGGACAGGAGTGGGATTATTATTTTTCATTCTTTGCACATTTTTTTCTCTCTGTTTTTTTTTTTTTTTCCCAGTGGAGTGAGACTTCTTTTGGCTGCACTTGGTCGTATAGCACCACCTAGTGGGTGGTTTTGGTTTTCTTTCAGGACATACAGTATTTACCTGTATCCAACCATTTTACCATTATGTTGTTTGTTATGTGTTCAAATGTTCTTTTGCCATCAGAATGCAGTGGCTTTGYTCATATCAGCGCAACAGGTCTAGATCTTGAGTTAAAATTATGTCATGGTTATGAYGGGCCCTTTTGTTCACTTTGGGTTACCCATCTCTTTTTTATATACTGTATATAATGATTGTGGGTTGTTATGAGTAGAGCAAAAATTCTCACACTTAATGTTAAAGGAATTAATCACGTTGTTAAAAGACGTAAAATACTCTCCCTGCTTAAAAAAAGACAAGGTAAAGGTGGCGTTATTACAGGAGACTCGCCTAACTGACCTTGAACACTTGAAACTTAATCGCGACTGGGTGGGACAAATTTATTATTAGTCCTATAATTCTAAAAGAAGAGGCGTAGCGATATTAATCCATAAAAATCTACCATTTACCTTGGACAAGGTCATACTACACATAAGATACTGGTGGATTTTATGTTTTGATTGCTGGGCTTTTACAAGGTGAACAAATTATGTTTGGAAGTGTTTATGCTCCAAATGTCTATGATAATAAGTTCTATTCAAAATTTTTGGCAGAGGCCTCGTCTCCCTGTATAAATCAGGTGATGATTGGTGGAGATTTTAACTGTGGCCTGGCCCCTGAATATGATTATAACCCTCCAAAAACACAACCAATCTCAAAAATGGTAAAGGAGCTTTGCTCAGATCTCAGTCTCTTTGATGCTTGGAGGATTTGTAATCCACGCAGTAATGATTTTACTTTTTTCTCATGCCCTCACCTTTCCTTCTCGAGAATTGATTATATATTTGTTTCTAGACCAGTTCTTGACAGAATTCAGAAGTGTCTRATTAACATGTGTGTTCTTTCAGACCACTCATCAGTTTCATTAGAAATGTTACCACTTCACTGTGATCCCTTATCTAGACAATRGCGTTTAAATCCAACTCTCCTTATTGACTCAGCATTTTTGAAATATTTAGAAAACCAGTGGGAAATTTTCATTTCCACAAATGATTTACCAGGGATATGTGCCTCTACCCTGTGGGAAACAGGTAAGGCACTCATTAGGGGCTCTATTATCTCCTTCACAGCAGCGAAAAAGAAAAGCATTTTAGCCAAACAGTTGGAACTTTAACAAAACATTGCTAACCTGGAGAAGGAACTTAAAAAATCTCCATCCCCCTCAATGCTTAAAAAGTTGGATGATGTCAGATCAGCTTTGGATCAAGTACTAACCCAAAAAGCTCAAAATACAATATTTCATGCAAGACATAGATTATTTGAGAATGGCAATAAACCTGGACGTCTACATGCCTGCCTTGCCCAGGGGAAAAGTGGGTCTTATGCAATACTGTTGCTTAAAGACAAGAAAGGTAATCTACAATTTGAGACAAAAATCATTAGTAGAATAATAAAGGATTTTTATCAAGAACTATACTCTTCTGAATGCCAAAATACTGCAGATATTAGGGAAACTTTTCTTGACATTCCTATATTGTCTGAACAAAACTGACTAGATCTTGGTAGACCTATTGAAATACAGGAAGTCTTGAAGGCTATTAAGTCTTTTGCAAAGTGGAAAGGCCCCAGGTCCTGACGGGTTTGGTCCTGAATTTTACAAGAAAATGGCTAAACACATTGTAAGTCCCTTAGTAAATATGTATAAGGAATCTCTTGAGAGGGGCACACTCCCACCCACTTTAAACCCTGCCAATATATCCCTAATTTTGAAAAAGGACAAACATGCAGATCTCTGTTAGACTGTAAAATTCTGTCTAAAATTTTGTCAAAGCGTTTGGAAGCGGTCCTGCCTGCATTAGTGGGACCTGACCAGACGGGTTTTGTCAAGAATAGATATCCCCACTCCAATCTACGTCAACTAAAATTAACTATGACAAATCAGAGGCTTTGCCTCTTGGAGACTTGGGAAGGGAAGGCACTTCTGTTAATTTTCCTTTTAGATGGTCRACCACATAAACTTAACTTTAAGCCAATTGTTAATTCAACTAAGAATGACCTCAATAGATGGTTTGACCTCCCACTGTCTTGGATAGGCAAGATAAGCTTGATCAAAATGAATATCCTCCCTAGAATACTTTATCCTATGCAAATGTTGCCTCTTAGAATTAATAGAAAAACATTCTCAGAAATTGAGGGATGCTTTTCTAAATTTAAATGGCATGGAAAGAAATCTAGGCTTAAGATAAGGGTTCTCCAGTTACCYACAGATTTAAGGAGTCAGGCACTTCCTAACCTCCTCTATTATTATTGGGCTTGTCATGCACAAATAATCTCTGAATGGCTACACTCATTTTTACATCATGATGTCCCGCCTATAGATTCCTGGTGCTGTAAGCCTCTCTCTCATATTAGTCTTTTATCTACTGATTTAACTGAACTTCCATTAGAGGTCAGAAATAACAACGTCTTGATGTGTACACTCAGAGTCTGGCACAATATTGGTGCCCACACTGGAAGAAAGGGCTTTTCTAGTGCCCTACAGCCACTTATCAGGAACAAGGCTTTCTCTCCAGGCCTTAGCATTAACATATTTGATGACTGGTATTCTAAAGGTTTAAGATTTATTGGTGAGCTATTTGAACGGGATACTTTTATGTTTTTTAAACAACTGCAAACTAAATACAGCTTACCACAACAAAATTTCTTTGTATTGCTACAAGTGAGACACTTTGTAAATTCTCTTAAATTTCCAAGTAACCAACCTGTTTTGAACCCTCTCGAAAGCTTTCTTCTCAAAGTTAATGAAAATGTGTTCACTAAAAAGAAATTTATTTCTCTTTTCTGTAGAAAAATGTTCCCTTTAAACTTTGTCACAACTGATAAGGCAAGATTTCAGTGGGAAATGGATTTGAATGTTGAGCTTAATATAGAAACATGGTCAAAAACTTTTAGAACTGCTAAGACATTGTTCACTTGCAACAAATTTTGGGAAAGCCAATACAAAATTTTGCACAGATTACAACGTACTTCAGAATTTTTAAATAAAATTTATCCACAGATCTCTCCTCTCTGTGTGAAATGTAATAAGAATGTGGGCACTTATTACCACTATATCTGGCAATGTCCTTTAATTGCTAGATTCTGGAAAAACATTGCTATARAGCTTCGTTCAATTTTTCACGTCAATTCCACTGGACCCTGTGTTGTTTGTTCTTGGTTTAMCTGTAGAAGGACTTTCTTTCTACTAGGTAAACTCCTCCACTTAGCAAGGCGATGTATCTTGTTTCAGTGGATCAAGGGACAACCCCCTTATGTTACAGTGGTACTGAGAGACATTCAAGGTGTTTCTGTTGGAGTGCCTCAGTGCCATCACAAAGGGCAATTGCAATGTTTTTTATGGGATATGGCAACCCTTATTAGACCATTTGCCTAGCRAGCTTGCTGATATGTTAAATAAAAGGGGGATTACATTTTGTTTTTAAATATAATTTTCTTTTCTCGCTCTCTTTTTTTTTCTTTTTCAATTTTTGGTTTAATTGTGGTTTACATGTTTTGACCCAGATCTGTACATTTGTAACCCATGTATCTGATTGATAGCTATTGTAATGGACTTKGTTGCGCTTGGTTGTTCTTGTTCTTAAAAAGACAATAAATTATTGTTAAAAAAAATACATGCCCAAAGCCTTGCTTTGACTCATTCATGCATGTTTGAGAAATCCTGCAGTGTTTTTAGGCAGCCATGCTGAGGAGCAAAACGACARGTRGRGACCAGAAACACCTCTGGGATGTGTCTTTAAGTCGAACTTCCTCATGGCAGAGCTTTGACCTCAAATGTTCAAAACATCTCTGAGGACGAAGGCCAGTGAGAGGACAGTCTAGCTTCTCTTCATTTAAAACAGTAAAAACAACTCCAGCCGGTCCGCTGAGCCGAGCTGAGCTGAGCTGAGCTGAGCCGAGCTGCCCTGCCTCGCATCTCCAGTTCAAACACCTGAATTTGTGATTAAAATGTGAGCTGACGCTAAAAGAACAGTTAGAGATGAAAACAAAGAAGAGAGAGTGTTCCAGCACAAGTTGAAGTTTCTGACTGGATGAACACTGACAAGCTTTTAATTTGATCTTTTTCTGACAGCGAGACATGAAACCCAAACACCAAACATCAGAGTTTACGAAAGTCCTWAAATCCCAGGGACTCTGATCAAGGCTCGTCTTCCTGCAGGCTCAGAGGAGCAGGACAATGATCAGACTGCAWGTGAACTTTAAGGCAACCTGTGTGCACTTCCTGTTAGCACTTCCTGCCTGTCTGCAGGTAGACACTCAGGTGCTTTAGCCACACTCTGCATTTTTCAGCCATCTAGGACAAAATCTTTTATTGTGAAAAGACAGCAGGTAAATGWTGAACCCGCGGTCTGAGGATGCAGACAATAATGCTCTCACAGAGACAACCTACAGCAAACATCAAGCAGAGTCAGAGGGTTCCTGGAACTGTTCTGCCGTGATTCATCTATTTTCAGAATCCTCCTTCATCTCTACTAATGGCCTCATTATGTTAATCAGAGCATCGACGTCAGCGCTTCACTGTTCGTACAGATAACTCCTTCAGATCTCAGTGATTCTCCTGAGACAAGAAGTCCAAAAGTTATTAAACCTCACGTGGTACAGAGCCACCTACGGTTCTGTCCGGAGTTTACAACGTGTGGCAGACAGTGTGAAGCTGCAGCTGGCTGATGATGGCTGAAAACTGCTCAGTGATTCATGTTCCGGGCATTTGTGACAGCTGGAGATCAATCCGTGTTGTGGTTTCTTTATGTCACTCATCTCCCAGAGGTTTCTGCAGGCGGCTCGTCTCTTCAGGATCTGTTCACGTCCTGGCTGTCAGTGGTACAATCTGATTCATTTCCTCGGGTGTTGTGAAACATGTTGCCCTGCAGGAAGTGAAAGCAGCACGGGCCAGACTCCTCCTAGTAGAAGCGTTTGCGCCTGTTCTCCTTCCAGCGGTTGTAGACCATCAGGATGACCACGACCAGAAGGCACAGGCCCAGGACCGAGAACAGGAAGGTGAAGAAGAGCTGGACTCCACTCATCCTGCCGTCCTCCACCTCCACTGTCAAATCACACAACAACAGATGAACCAGTGGACTCACATTTTAAAGAATTACCATGTTTATGCAAGTATAATACAAAACATTAAATCCATAAAATCATCCACAAAGTTGGGGGTAGTTCTATACAGGGATCAGTTTTTTGTTTACAAAATGCAGACACAGACACGAAGGGCAGGTGGTGGGCTCACTGACCCCCTGCACAACTTTACAGCTCAGGATGTAAAGATTCAAACAAGCAGGAAAACACAGTTCATAAAATAAAATAAAATGAGGACAGGATGCCAAAGATGTGATTGAAGAGCTGGAAGAAACATTTCTCATTTTTAGGGTCATTTTCATTTTTGAAGATTCAGTGAAATAATAATTAAACTTACCTTTATTTATTTATTGAATGAAGGATGAACATGTATTTAGAAGAAGGGCTGGAGGATACGACTAAAATTGATATCACAATATATATAATATAAATAATATTTGTAATTACATTCTAACTTGTATAAATGATGTCAGATTTACCATTAAGTTGTGTGGAGGCTGTAATTCAAGACATCTGCAATTAATTACTGACTATCTGAAACATATATTTCAGATATCAACAATCAACAATTGAATTATGGCTAGTCATAATTTTAATTAAATATATCTTAAATGACATCAGGTTTGTAGTTTCAGTAAATATTAGTATTGGCAGTTTTTCTGATATTTATATTATATAAAATATTGAAATTATATTGTATCGACTGAAATTAAGAGTATTTCTGTTCTGTATTTCTGTATGTCTAGTAAAAATATAAATCAGAGATATTTTAATTAACTATTTCTAGAAAACATCCTGTCTACCTCGGGCTTAGTTTTCCTGGTCCTGACACAACAAATATCTTTCTTTAAGGAAATTTTGGAAGGAGAAAACCAATAACTTTTTTAACGTTATCTAAAAAGGGAGCATTAATTATATAAAGGATTTCATCATAAAAGTAGTCCAAGGCCAACTCTGAACCAAATAACGTCTACTCCACTCAAACGCAGCTAAATCATAGGAAAACCTGAAGAAGCATCAAAATGATGATGTGTGAACTCTCGCCACATAAAACTAAACTAAAGCCTGTCATTCTCTAACAGTTTGAACATGTGGAGATAAGCTGGCCTATAAGAAAAGATCAAATATCTTACAAAACAGGAAAAGTGCCAAGAACCATCAGTCAGCAATGTCCGTTAAGAGTGAAAAGAAATAAATGGGGATGGTCTCCAGGACTGTAAGCAGAGACGAGCCCAGCACCGGTCTGTAGATCTCTGCAGCACACAGACCAACATAAGGAACTCCAACAAGACCAGAAGCTACTTCTTGGTCTTTAAGGGTGTAGGGTGGCCAGCTACCAGTTTAGAACTAGCATGGATTTCCCTTTTCAACACGAGGAAAACGTGCAACATAGTCAGATTTAAAATATGATCAGGTTCCTGCAGTGACCGACTCTGATTGCCTTTATTTGACAGATTATATTAATCAGATGTTTGACCCAAGCAGCTATGTTTATTTACCTTCAAACTGCTTCATGTCGTCAACTCTGGGGACAGTGAGCTCTTCATCCTCCTGCTCTTCTTCAGGAGTCCGCTCTACAGTAAGCTGGTACACCTTCATTGAGATGATGTCATGGTTATCTAAACAGAAGCAGTGAAACATATTTAAAGACTCTCCTGCCTTCAGCTGCAGAGACACAATCAACATGCTGCTCAGCAGGTACAGCAGGAGACTGATACCTGACAGCTCTCCTGTAGCAGAAGAAGCACCGAAGTAGTAGCCTGTTGGTAGCCTCAGTCCTGTGATGTCAGCACATTCTCTCCACTCCTGTTTACCATCAACATCCACCAACAGCTGGTAGGAAGAGGCTGACAGTTAGCATACATCTGTGTGACAAGCATCTGTCTTATTCAATAACCTTTATGTCACATCTTTAATGATGTATTAGAAAAAAATATTCAAAGTKTTTAGATTAAAGCTTAGTAACACTTTGGGATCTCCCAGGAGGAGTAGAGGTGTGTTGTGGGGAGAGTAACTTCTATAAAACTGATGTTTAGATTGTGTTTGTTTGACAAATCTTCTCTGTATTGATGGATTATTTCTTTCCTGTGAACCTATTTGTTTTATACCTAAAAAGTTCATTTTGGGTTTTATCAACAGTCAAACAGCATAATATTATCTTTAACTGTTCAATGCCTGTTTCACCGTTTCTAGGATTCATGCTGAAATAAAACCAGACTGAAATGATTGGAATTTGTTAGGGCTGCAACAATGTATCAATAAGAAATATTAAAAGCGTTGGCAATGAATTTCATTATCAATTTGTTGTGTCGCACAATTATGCATCTCTCGCCATGTCGCAGAGCCGTTTACATCATCTGCAGAGCGTTGTCAATGCTGGCTGACCTAAATAAAGTTTAGGAAGAAAATAAAACTACCTGTAAAGATTCCCCACCACCCCCCGAGACCCTCGAGTGAAAAGTAGAGACTTCGAACATTAAATCAGTTTTTAAATTGTGTTGTTAGGCCAAGTAGATCTGAAGTTATGATAAACAGTATATGCTACATTTAATTTTTTTAAAAGACAGTCTGATTTGATGCGAGCCGAGTCGCAACGAGGAAACATGTCCTGTGGAGGAGGGGGGGGGGGGGGTCAGTTCTCTCGAGCCAGAAATATAAAACCCAAGTGTCTTTTTTTCTTACCGAGGTTCAAAGTTATTTGATAAGCAGCAAAAAGGTTCAGGATGAAGGAATAAAAAAAATAATAATAATTTAAAAAGACACAAGCAGAACTCCTGGTCTGCCTCAGTAGGGGAGGGGGTAGAGATGGGGCGGGGGCTGCTTCAGAGCCACTTACTGGGTCATAGAACATATTACGGGCATAGAACATACATATTAATTGATTATTAAAATAATCGTTAGTTGCAGCCCTTGGTACCGCTCTCAATGACTTTGCTCGTATTCTTGGCCCTCTGGCTCCTCATTTCTTCTTCCCTCTCAGAACTCTTGGAGTGTTTTTAAACAGTTTAGACAGTTTTCATTAGTTTTGTAAAACATCCAAAGCAAAATCCTTATATTTCTTCCAAACACCCGTCCGTGCCTTCATCACTATTATACTGGACGACTACAACTCTATGATTTGAGCAACCTTCTCATCATCTGCAGTCAGTCCAGAAAGTTCCTGAAATTCTTCCAGCAGGTCTGAGAAGGCATGACCACATGACCGCAGTGTAAAAGATTCACACTGGTTAGCTGTTTGATTCTAGCATTCAGTCAGTCACTTTTAAAGCTTTACATGGGTTGGCTCTCACTGAACTCTTGACTTTTATAGTTTTCCAGGAAGATGCTCTTAGTGGTGCAGTGGCAGCCCCCAGACTATAAAACAAGCCGGTCCCTTAGTCCTGCAGTGTGTAAAGTTGTGGGACAAAAATATAATTTATATTACTGGTTCCAAGAACATTTTATGGTTTGATATGTGATTAATATTTATCATATTGTGTTATCAAAACATCATGTCAAACTAGAGGAATCTAAGGCTACCTTCACACAGAATCCATTCTTTTCATGACATTAACCTGGAGTTATGTTGTTTAAATATTGTAACTCCACGTCTTCAGCTACAGAACACAAGTTCAGATGCTTTGTCTTTTCATTTTCCATGTCCTGGATGACTGAATGATGTTCAACCTCTGTCTCATATCGTATTGATGCTAAAGTTAGTCGGCCGATACTTTACTTCCAGCACATTGCTTTGTTCCTCAGAGAAAATAGTTTAATTTGTATTAGTTACTGTGTGAGGAGTTGAATTTTTTGTTTTGTTTTATTATTTGGTTTATTGTTGTTCGAAATACTTTTTTTAAAAAAAGGAGCAGATTTCATTAGAATCTTTTTCTTCTTCTGCCGCCTTTCATTTTATTTTATTTGTATTGTTTTATTA